CAACTAAACTCTCAAGCAAATGTCTGTGGTAAAAATGAACTGGCAAGCCATTGTTTCACAGAAATTTTGTGATTTTTATAGATTAGTGATTAGAATAAATATATATWTTATACAGATTTCAAAAGTTTTAACTTTCTTTGACTAAAGGAACAGCTTTCCAGAACACTGTTCAATTTAACAACAGTCAACATTTCAGATATATCTCAAATATTATTCCTCTTAGAATAAATTAAGTCACTTACCTTATTGACAAGATGCGTTGTGGATATTTGACATGAAATTCATATTTGTCCTTAGTCATTATTTAATTTTACACATACTTACTTGTGAATACATGGAGGTGAATGACCAATACATCACAATATGAAACATGGCATCATTTGTCCAAAAGTGATATCTAAAAGGTTCACTGTATATGGAAGAAAGACATTTGAGATATCTGAAATCTTCTTGAGAAGAAATAATTTAATTATGTTTGTTGAGATTAAATATCCACATTGAATGCTAAAACTAACATGTATACCTTTTGAGATTTTCTCAACATTTCAAATCAAGCATTTTATTTATTGCGTTTTAACTTGAGATACAGTTGGTGTCGGAAGTAAAGCAGGCGTGATGATTGATTATATGGTACAACGACCTGCCATAAACCTGTGCTTATGGAACCTGCAGTCCTTTGGTGACGTTTTTTGTTAACGAGTAACGACGTTTTCCGCCCTCCGGTCTTCCTGATTGGTCCAAAGGAAGAAAAAAAACGAAAATTACATTAACTAAGATGGCTGTGGGAGACGGAGGAAAAACGATGCCAGAGTAGAACAACAAACCTCACAAGTACACAGCAGTGGATATTTATTACTGGTCTGCAGCTCTGTTTCAACCGGACGTCTGTCTTTTCACCGGAGAACCGACCAGCAGGGTCTGAGAGACAACATCACTCTGCTAACTGTTTGCTAACAAGTAGCTAACATTAGCTACCTTTTACTGCGGAAGGCGAGTTAGGAGAAGACTAGCCTCCAAGGAGAAGCAGACAAGGTTCAAAACAAATAAGTGACGCATCATTTCGATACTTTTAACGGAGTTAGGTGCCCTCAGGTGGGTGTCAGGAAAGTATCTTTACTTATAAGCCGGAAGGCTGGAGAGGTGTCCTCTTTGAAGCCATGGCTCACTCCCCTATTGGACTACCGGGGATTCAGGTAACTATCGCTGCAACTTTATCATGTATTTAGTTACCATCTCGTGTTCTCTGACGTGATAAAGATGCACGCATTAAAACATTTTTGTTTTTGTACTGGGACGTTTTATCGGTGACGGCTTCACGCCTTTGCTTTCCTTCCGTATGACTGTCAAAGTCCAAGTAGTGCTGGTTTTCAGAAACATGGCTGTCATGTTTATCACCTTAATAACAGGTCACATGTCAACTTCTAACTCATAACACTGTTGGTTAACTATTAGTTAAATACACACGCACTTAGGCCGGTAAAAGTGGGATTTAAAAAGTTACCAAATACTGTAGTAATTTAACAACAGTGTTTCTTTATTTTTATAGATGAATGTTATCATTTGTAGTATTTTGGAAAAATCCACTTGACAAGTTTAATGGTGTTGACCATTATCACCTGTATAAATCAGTCAATGCACATTATTTTTTTGTTGATAGTAATTACATTTCTTGGAATATTCATTATGTTCAGTGTGCAAATTAGTCTTATCTTATATGTTTTAGCATTAATTAGGCAACAGCAATAATATACATTTCTACAGTTTTCCAAAGTTTTCCATTTTGTTTCAACATGTTTAAATTTGAGGTACTAGAAACCTAAAAATATGCAATTTGCAGTGTAAAGCTAAACTAGAGAATGGGGGGAAAGTGTGGAAATTTGTGTTTAGTAGATTATTTGTTTTATCACTATCAACATGCTTTTATGGGATGAGCAGTAAAGCTGATTATACGAGTTGCACACATGAAGAATAGCCAAATCATCACTGCTATTACCAAAGAACTTATATTGCTGTTGCTATTGACTAGGGGTGTAAGAAAATATCGATACAATGAAATATCGCGATATTTCATTTCCCGATACTGTATCGATATTCTAAAGCCCTGTATCGATTTTTTTATTAAGTTTTAAAATGTCAACCTTCTTGCCAGCCATTCATTTTTATGTTGTAGTTC